CTAATTATAATTATAATGCTAATCTGAATATTAATATTCATACTAATATCAATTCTAATATGCTAATACTAATCTAATCTTAATCATAATACTAAGTAACACTAATACTAATACTAATACTTATATGCTAATGCTAATACTAGTCCTAATATACTAATACTATTACTAATATTAGTTCGCTAATATTAATATTAAATTATTAATATACAAATGCTAATACTAAGATACTAATACTAATACTAATGTACTAATACTAATTTACTAATATACTAATATTAATATACTAATACTAATACTAATATACTAATACCAATACTAATATACCAATACCAATACGTACCAATATCAGTATCAATATAAATATCAATACCAATACCAATACCAATACCAATACCAATACCAATACAAATTGTAGCACCCCCCTTCTAGACGGGCGATAAATCGAACCGGTTTATCGGAATATTTATTAAACTAGCGGAAGCAAAGGATCTCTTTGTAATTTTGAAACGTTGGAATGGGGTGAAAATGCAATTATCAAAAGTTTATTCTTTTGGGTATTGAAGGCTTTGCATTTTCGAGAACTTTGTTGAATTGATTTAGCCGAATATAAATCTCGGTTTGGAAATAAGTTTCGAAAGGAGGTTTCTTATTCGAGTGCTACATTCTCACTAAACATTCTTTTCGGTTCGAGAATAAATCAGAGTTCGAAAAGGTTATTTTGGTGAATAATCCGAAGTTTCCTAACGAAGGCATGAAAATAGCAATTTACGAAACTTAATATATTTAAGCTAGGAAATAAGTACGATTCACAATGAAAAACGAGTTCAAAAGTACGAAAGGGAAATGTTACGGTTTTAGGGTTACACCACCGAAAGAAAATAACCAAAATCCTAGCATTCGTTCATAGGTCCTCGTACGTCTTCCAAAATCCCGGGCAAGACCTCGATCCACTACTCGATCCATCCCGGTTGAGGATTACTACTACCTGCAATTAAAAGACATCTATATGAGCTATAAAGCTCAGTAAGAAATCCGAGTACTATCAAACTTTAGAAATACGTTATATATAATATATATAATAGCGTATACCCGTTCTTACCCACGTTTCGCACAACAACACAAGGCAATCGGTCAATTCACATATCTCACGAAAACACATCATTTCACAAGATCACGTAATTATGCAAAAATAACTAAAATGCCCTTTTTGTGAAAATCATGAAAAACACATTTTTTTTTTTTTTTTTTTTTTCGGTTTATCGGATCCGTGAAAGATTAATTTATGTACCGAATAATAAACCTGTTACGAGCCCGTTTTCACTAAGTGGAATCAAACCACTACCACATCATCCTAGTTGGATACCGGCCCACTATATCCGAGTTTGTTTATTACTCGATATTCCATTAACCTTTCAAATAAAATCATTTAATGCACTTTTCGAAATTATGCATATGACCCACACATAACATCACAAATGTCAATCAAGTATCACAAATCACACAAATACCACAATTCACCACATATTTATGATTTGGGGCAAAACTCCCAAATTCACACACATAAATACACAACCACACACGGCACACACACCATGCACAATCAGCACACACACATTCACACATTTTCAGCATACACACATGTACAGTCAACACATTAAACTTCACCAATTACTCATCAAAGCAAGCTCAAGAACAAAACACCTTTTTACCTTCATTTAATGGACTTATTACCACATCTAGGTAATAATCCATTTCAATCAATTTCCCACAGCCATTAAACACATCCAACAGAAATTAAAGTACCACAATTACTACAATTCATCATTCATCACCATCATATCAAGAATAAAAGTATTAAGGCACAAAATATATTAAATGACATGCATAATGTCTAAATTTCGAAATATTAGCAAATTAATCCCAAAAATTCTCAAATTAAATCCTAGAACTCCTAACTGACTCAAATTCCAGATTCTGAAATTATTTTAAAGTTTCACAAAGTTTCGAATTTTCTTGAAATAAAAACTAGGAAAATCCCT